TATATATATATATATATATTTAAAGCTAAAATTTCTTATTTATACTTATAATATTTTAGTATCATAAACATATACTTGAAAGGTTTAATTGATTTATAAAAAGTTAATAAATAGTAATGATGGTATTTTGATATAATGTAATAAATACGAAAATATATGTTTTTCATATATAAATCCATAAGAATTGTGTGGTATGAATGTAAAAGCCCCAAATAAGAGATTTACTTTTTTCTTTTAAAGCCCGCCTTTTTTGGGCTCCATTGGCCTCCCTCCTGAGATGGCTGTTTATTGTACGTTAAGAAGCCCATTTATAAAACGGGCATTATGCGCCTATTGGATTGGGCTCCTTCTCCAAAACATAAACATGATGTGCTTCTAAGAACTTCCACTTAAGAAGATGTGACGTGCTCTTCCGTTGAATTCACATGAACTCGTTTGAACTCACCGAGCACCTCCGCCGAGCTTGCACGTACTCGCCAAGCCTTTTTTCTGAGCTCGTCTGCACTTCTCAAACTTCACCATTAGGATCATTTATTTATCCTTCAGTGTCTCCGACATGGTAGGGACATGGCAGAAGGAAGAAGACTCTAACCCACCATTATCCACGCCCATTTACAAGTCATCAGACATCTATGACAATATCTTTTCAACAATGAATATCAATAGGTTACGTACAATACGACCTATACTATAACATTTATTATTTTTTTTTTCTATAGCCATGTGAGGGAAATGGCACCTTATGAGAGATAAAAGGATGGCAAAGTGAGAGGGGAAGATGGATCCTAGAAATAGGGTTGTGAGTTTAGCTCGAATATATTTAATCGCTAAAAAATTGATACAAATTTTGTCTCGGATCGAGATCGGATCGGACTAAACTAGCCAAGTACGAGACAATTTTGGATCCAATTTTTTTCGAGCAGATTTTTGAGTCTACCCCAGCTCACCTCAAAACACTATCGCTAACAGCTTCACTGATGTCGGGGCTGTGAATTTAACAAATGTAGCTCGAAGATCATTAATCACTCAAAATTTGATTCATATACAAATGGCCCGATCTACAAGCCAAAATTTTGGATTGAACTTTTTTCGAGCCAACCCAAACTCGGCTCGGAATCGGATCATTAACATTCGTACCAAGAACTCTCTACCTCTCTATTCATCTGACGTGGTCTCTTCTGAATTATATGAATTCGTGAACTATAAAGAATTCGACGTCCTAAAAGCTTCAACGTATATGTATTCACGTATCAAAATCTAAACTTACACTTTTTTACATTTTTTGTGAAGTTTAGTTGCTTTATATATAAATTCATAAAAATTGAGTGGTATGCATTTCCGCATACATATTCTAACGATTCTAAAAGTAACTATTATAAATATTAATATTAAATTAAATATAATTAATATTAAATAATTATTATATATTTAATTTTAATGAGGATAAAATCTTCAATGTGTTATATAATATTTAAAAATTGACAATAAAAAAAAACTAAAATTGGAAAAAACTTATTTCATAAAATCCTCAAATTAACTATCAAATTATTATTTCCTCCTAAAAATTTCCCATTATTTACAATTCATAAGAGACAAAAATAAAAAAAAAAACCCTCCTATTTGTGTACATAAATATTAATATTTTAATATTACAAAACAAATAAATAAATAAATAAAATAAAATAAAAAGCCCTGATTTGTAAATACTGAATAAAGGGAGGACTCAGTTCTGAATACTATTGGTTCCTCCACTGGGTCCTGAAGGCGGTATTCTTCCTCTCGGGAGAAGGTTAAGTAAAAGTGGTCCGTACTTTTCCTCTAAGCTCTGTTTGCCGTCCGACGGCCGGGATTTCTCTGCCGGCGAGAGTTTCTGCTGCTCCTCCTTCACAGGCCTCGCTGTTATGGCCACCAAGTAGAAGGCAATGAGACTGAGAAATAAAAATTGAAGCTTTGCTCTTCTCATGCTGAACTGATGAAGAGAGAGAGAGAGAGAGAGAGAGAGAGAGAGAAAAGAGAGAGAAGAGAGAAGAGAGAAGAGGGAGAAGAGGAGAAGGTCGATGCAAGCAAAGAAAAAGGGAGGGACGGAGGGTTGATTGAGCCATTTATTATGTGGAGCTATTTGATATTATTTTAATTTGAATTAGCTTACAAAATTCATAAAAATTATTTCCCTGGTCGTATGTCCGGACGATCGTCTTGATGTAGCCACGCCTCTATGGATAGCAGAGCGCCCTATCTGGACCATCATCCGAACGTACAAGCCTAATTATTTCTCATAATATGACACACACAAACACACACACACACGTGTGTGTGTATGCTTGCGCGCCGCAAGTCTTGGTTTGTTTGTGGCGGAGTCACTGTAAGTCTCCTCAGGTCAAGGGTTCGATCCTACCGTAACGTGGGGGCTCTGGAATTTTAGTCACATGGTGAAGTCACCGTGAGTCTCCTCAGGTCAAGGTTTCCGATCCTACCGTAACGTGAGGGCTCTGAAATTTTAATCACATGCGCGAGCTCTTATCATGAGACCAAAAGGCGAATGAGAAATCAATATTTGAGTCTCTCTCAAATATCAATTTATATATATATATATATTATTTCCTTTTCTTATAACTCATTGCTCCATATGTAATTTTTGAGCATTTACATACACACCGCATAATTTTTTATATATTTATATATCAAACGCAAGAAAATTTAATTTTTACATTTATAACTCTCATCATATCATTTATTTAAATATGAAAAAATATCACTATTATTAATTTTTAGAAAGTAAAATACAACTTTAATTAGTCATTGATTGAGTGGTAAATTGAGTCACTCAATCAAAAACTCAAAATAAAATAAAATAAATAAATAAATAAAAACTATATTATATGGGCACATGACCATACCCTCAATGTGCACATAATCAATACATAATATTTCTAATATGCTTTACTTAGCAAATAAATTAAAAAATAATAAAAATCAAAAATATAATTTGCACAATTAATAAAACAAATATACAAAAATTTAAATTATTTTAATGAAAATTAGATTATGGTCAAAGATAAGTGGGGAAGGTGAGTTATGAGATGCCCATATTTTCAAAATGGTACCTTTCTAAGCTGTGGAAAATTACATCTTTTGACTTTTAGATTGCGTTGTTAAAGTTGTTCAAGCATTCGTGCATCTTTTTTTTTTCTTTTTTTTTTAATTTTTAATTTGCAAGGAAATTAATTCATGTACGCTATCTGTAATTTAATATTTGGTTAGGTATTAGATGACCTAAAGGCCAGATCACGGTTAGGTACAACATGCGCCCAATATATTATATTGATTAAAATGTCAAAAAATGCTCTCTCGTTCCGAGACTCTTTAAATTGGGGCTGAAATAGTCATAGTTGAGAACTACTATAACTCAATTTTAAAGTATTCGAGGACTAAGGGTCCGTTTGAGGAGGCGGTGCGGTGGCGGTGCAGCGCCGCATCGCAATTTTGGTTGTTTAGTTAAACTGTGTTTTGACAGCTTTTTAAAAAAGTTGTCGTTGAAATATGGGTTTCCTCATCTCTCTTGACTAGGTGTTGTGGCAGCTTTTCTAACTGCGGTATGACTAAAAATAAAATAAAATTTATAATATTCACCACAGTTTTTTGAGCATTAGATTATTATTTAGCGTCTTCACTCTTGCTTTTTAATAAGTTTTAGCTGCCCCAAACAGATCCTAAGGATATCAAAATGTAAATTCGAAATATTCACTCCAAAATCGCTGTTAAATAGAGTAAAGTGTCAAAATATTCTCCGATTATTTATATGAAGCCGTTTTAGTTTCAGAGTTTATAAAAATGTCAAAACAATCAATAGACTCATTAAATTGGGTCTGAAATGGTCATTGTTGAGGACAATTAGAGCTCAATTTTAAAATATATGTGGACTATTTTGATAATTCTATAAATTATGGGATTAAAACAATCTCATGTAAATAATCAATGACTATAAGAACTCAAATGAGCAAGGATTAAGAGTTATTGAACATATGAGAAATTTGCATACATACCAACACAATACTTATGCATTTATATTTCTGCCACCTGTGCTGCACGCCGCGACTCTTTGCTTGGCAGCTGCGTTGTCAGTCGTGAGTCCCTTGGGGTCAAATGTTCGAGCCCGCCTAAGTGCATCTGTCTTGCAGTACGGGATCGAATGATTAGACACATGAGGTTATTTGGGGGCTCGCATCATAGACTCCGGCCAATCTAAAAAAAAAAAAAAAATAACCCTGTGGTCTTTTTTTTCCTGTTCATTATTTACATTTGTAGGACTTTGACGTATATTTCTCTTTCAAAAAGGCAGGAGTAGCAATAATTGTGATTTTAGGTTTAAGATTTAAATGTTATGCATCTAAATAAAAAAAGGTATAGTTGTTAGATATGTAAATATATAAAAATTGTGCGGCATGACGATAAAAGCCCAGGAAAGATTTACATACATGCCACTTAATTCATATGTATTTACATATCCAACACCTAAACTTCAATTTTGCATATATTTCATATTATGTATGCATAAAAAAAAAAGGTGTATCTCACATTTTAAAAGTTATAATAGTGATATTCTTGTTTAGCAAGAAAAGAATTGGGCAATATAAATGTTTTAGATGTTAGATGTGTAAATACAAACAAATCGGGTGGTATTCATGTAAATCCCAGTCCTGTTCATTATGAAAGAAGGCTTTATGCAAGTCATGAGCTAAGTGCAATTTCAAATCATTAATCCCATCAACATCATCCCCAACAATAATCGTGTCATCAACATATAATGAAATAAGAATGTGACGGAAAGAGGCTGCGCCTGACGAAGAAAGCAAAATCATATGAATTGTGATAGAACCCAAACGGAGCAATGACGATAGCGAACTTCTCAAACATGGCTCGAGAATTTTATTTAAGCCCACAGAGAGCTTTCTTTCATTTGCAAAGGCGGCACCGTGTACCCTTCTTCTTGAAGATCACCATTTAAGAATGCATTTTTGACATCCGTCTGAAAAATGGACCATTAACATATAGACACTACTACGATGAGGGTTTTGAAAGATGGTAAGATTTGCAACTGGAGCAAACATTTCCTCATAAGACATGCTCACTATTGTGAGAACCCTTTAATAACCAAGCGAGCTATGTATTGCTCATGGACTCATTAGAATTGGTTTTGATCTTATAAATCTAGAGAGAACCAATGGCATGTTTCTTAGAAGGAAGAGGAACAAGGTCCCAAGTACCTCTCTCATGCAAAGCAGAATATTCATCTGCCATTACCTACTGCCAAAGTGGATTAAGAACAACCTTTCTATATGAAGAGGGCTCTGAGAGCTAGTGAATAGAGGTCGGAAGAGAGGAAAGAGAGACTGAATACATAGAATAAACAAAATTAGGGAACTTAGTGGACTTATGAACATGTTGAGGGTTGCAAGGAGAAGGATATGCAATCACAGTAAAACCTTGGGAGGTCGCAGGGGCAAGAGAAGAATCAGTGAAAGTAATAGAAGCTATAGAGTTAAATCATCTTTGCATGAGTCAACAAGAGAGATAGGATTTCTATGATATGGAGCAACATCAGTGTCAACGAAGAAGGGATTAATAAGACTAAGGTGAAACTTCTTAAGAACGTGTGTGCCCGACATACTAGAGTAGAAGAGAATATGCTCAAGAAACACAACATGGTAAGCAATGTAGAGCTTTTGAGAAATGGGATTGTAACAATCACATCCCTTTTTATCTTCACTATAACAAAGAATGACACAACGTGTTAAGTGAGATTTGAGTTTACTACGTTTTAATGAATGCTTGAAACATATGATGAATGTCTAGATAATTAAAAAAGTTATTTATAAGATAAATCATCAATAAATGAAACTTTTATACCTTTTATAATAAGAATAGATAATTCTCACACATCATAATGAATTAAATCAAATAGCGCGAGAGAAGTAGAAGACTTTTATAAAAGAGCAAAGCAAAAAAGTTAGCCAATTTAACAATATGAAACATCTCAAGTTTAAAATTTTCCTAACGCTTCTCTAGGAGCCAAATACTTTAAATGAGAAGCACAATCGTGCCCAGGATGAGAATACCATAAAGAAAAGCTAGAAGAAGAAATTAGACGAAAATAAGACAACTTAACACAAGAAGTTGCAACATTTGGAATTCTCAGCTCATCAAAAATGTATAATTCCCCTTGCTAAGCTTTATCCCAATCAACTTCTTGGAATGCAAATCTTGCACATGATAAGAGAAAGAGGAAAATAAAACTGAGAAGCCAAAGTCACACAATTGACCAACATAGACAATATTGAAGTAAGATTTGGAATATAATATACATATGACACAGATACTTGATTTGAGTAGATAGAACCAACATCTGTTAATAACACTTAGGTACCATCAACAGTCACGACAGACACAAAAGTTACAACATTTAAAAATATAGAAGAACTAAGAGCAGTTGACATATGATGTGAAGTGCCAGAATCAAGAACCCATATAGAGGAAAATATACATGACTTGCTGCTAGAAGGCAAACCTATATTTGAAGGGCAGACGTAGGACATGGCTGAGAAACAAGGAACTCCTGGAATTGCTCGTTGAGTGAGGCAATGATGGCATTGCAAGATTCATAGCTATGAGAATAGAGCTTCAACTCATGGGTAAGTGAGTAGTAGGTGGAACAATTATTGCTACATAACCAGAAGGTAACAGAGGTTTGAATGATTGATTTTGTGATTGTTTGTTTGGTTTCCAAGATGAAGTTTGTTGAGATTATTGCATTTGATTCAATAACTTTGGACATTGAGTCTTCCAGTGACCATTTTGCTTACAAAAGTTGCACTTGTCAATGCTAAACTTCGCCTTATTCTAATTGTTGAGAAGAGGTTTAGTAGGAACCATAAATAAATGGAGTAGGAGCCATAAATATTTCCTTTCCAACATTTCCTTTGTTCGCTCGAGACTTCAAATGAATCTCTAGCCAACAACACATTAACCAACGATTCAACTTAAGGAAGGGGTTTGTGATGCAAAATTGTGCCATTAAGCCCTTCAAAATCATCCTAAAGAACTATAAAAAATTGAACCAAATGTTGTTCTTCTACACGAGCATTATAAGATGCAAATGCTCATACATCTGCAAATTCAGTAAGAGCAATGATGATCATAAAGATTATACATAGCAGAATAAAATTTTTGAATACTCATGCAATTGTGTAATTTTTTTGAAGGGTCTGAGTATCTATCTCTAATTGGTACTATTTTACAAGATTAGACCGTGTATATAAAAGCCATTTTATACATTGCTCTAATTAAACACCTATAGATTGTAAGGCATACTTGTTGGTCGATGTTAAAATTTTTGAATTAAAGGCATCCCAAAGTTCCAACTGCTTCACAAATCTCTCATCTTTCTCATTTATGGGCTTAACAACAGTTCCAGTGGCAATCCCACATTTGTTTACCCTTTATAAAATTTCTCATGACATAACTCCAATACATATAATTCTACCCATTTAATTGCATACTAATATATTGAAGATAGTCATCTTCTTTTCACTCGTCATCGTGATAAACAACAAATACCCAAACAACACTAGAAAGCAAAATAAGGAATAAGAGAGACAAATACAAATACCAATTGGATGAAACATAATATTGCAAGTTGAAGGCTACTAAAACTAGCGAGGCTGAATGATGATGAATCAAGGTTTTACAAAGACTAATCAGACTGTGCAAAAGAGAATCAGGCACGATAGAAAAAAAAAAATTTCAGCCCTTTGCCTCAAACCCGAGAGAAGTAGGGGCTAGGTTTTCATATTGCAAACAATAACAAGAATAAGTTACAAATTAATTATATCAGCAAAAAAAGGGGAAAAGAAACAACCAAGACTAAACTATCCTTATATAATACTACTACTTGTATTAAATATAATATTCATAGTGATTTTATGAGCCAACTTCATCAGCTAATTTGTCAAATTTAAGTCGGTTATAACTTAACTCATTAGCTCATGAGCTCTCTAGTTTAACTATATACGAATATGAAATATATTCAAAACATATATTAAAATTCAAAACTTTGAACATAAAATTGTCAATAAAAAAAAATCCATTTTCCACTTCCTAATTAAGTTTTTGTTATTACACTGCTTAACATAAGGCCAAAAAAAAAAAAAACAAAACAAGTTTAAGCCATTAATAATAAGCCTAATATCCACACTAAGGTAATCATAACTATGGCACTTAGATTATAAATGAATGATGTATTTTGTCTATGTCATTCAATAATAACAAAATTACTATCTATTTTTCGTTATCACAACCTATTATTTTATTCAACCACCCGGATCCTCATCATAGAATGCCTGCCAAGCCACCACCTAACCTCAACTACCCCCTCATCATTATATATATATATATTATATATATATATATATGACTCTGATGATAACTCTGAATAATTTATTTTTGGTATGGATTGTGGTTGAGTGCGGCAGGGTGAAGATAATTGTGATATTGCTTCACTCTTGAAGGAATATATTGCATGAATATAATATAAGTCTATACGTGCATGTCTTAGTACAAGCAAAAATTATTTCTTCGCTTTGAATATAAAATCTTCCAATTATTGTATATTCTCCACTCGGATTATATAAAAAAGAAATAATTGATGTTCCCAAGGTTATATATATATATATATATTTACATACATACGACTCAAATTGTAAATATTTACATATCTGACATCTAAATTTCATTTAGCGCATGATAACATCTTATATATGCATGAAAATGTGTATTCATTTTATTTTTAAATTGAAATGGTAGTATTTTTTTATGTGATATGAATGATTTCGGTTTTAGATTGTAAGTACATAGGAGTTTGGGAGTTATGAACGTATTCATTTCAGTTTGGGGTTACAACTGATTTGATATATTTAAAATATAAAATGAGATAAATATCTTATAGGGTAAATATGAACAATTTGATTGCATGCAAGATTTTATAATGATGGAATATTCATCGGTTTTTCTTTTTCTTTTGGTTTCTTTAAGAGGGTAGTTTGAAAACCCTATGATATAATAAAATTCCCTCAGGGATTCCTAACCACACACACACACACACAAGAAAATATTACATCATGACTCTATATGTAGAATTACGTGCAGAGTCCAATAAAATCACGCCCCCGTGACAGTGACAGAAACAAATAAAATATGTCTGATGACACGAGAGAATATTCATCCAATGTTACTCATGTGTTATTGTGTATTATTCAAGTGTTATTAATGTGTTATTGTGTTATTATAACACTGAGAATATTCCCAAAACACAATAACACTTGAATAACATACAATAACACCTGAATAACACAAAATAACACGCATACAATAACACCCATACAATAACACCTGAATAACACAAAATAACACGGAGAATATTCCCTTATGCTACCGGGACGATTTTTTTTTTCACCTCCACGTGATGTGATTTCATTAGACTCCACACGTACGTGCGGAGTATTGATGCAATATTTTTTCCCCACACACACAAATTACAATAAATAATATTTGTATCGGTGATTTTAGAAGACTACCACAACAGTTTAAAATGATTTGCAGTGATTCAAAACCGCTGCAAAAATCATCGTCATTGATTTCTGCCAAACATTTTGTAGCTGTTTTTAGACCGCCACAAAAAAACCAAAAAGTTAATGGCGATTTAAACCGCTGCAACTGTTGTTTCTGCGACGGCTTAAACTTACAGATCTTTTTTTTTTTTTAAATAGTTTCTATTTTTATGTTTCTCACCTGCTTCTGAGGTATGTTTGGGACTTCAAGCCACACAAAAACGGAATTTAATTGATTTCTATGCAATACAAATACTATTTCAAATGCAGGCTCATACAAACAAATTAAACAAATTAAAATAATGATAAAAATATATATAAAAAAAAAACTATATTTTGAAAAACTAACTTTGTTCATGAAGAACATACCCACTTCATCAGCAACATTTTCAGTAGGAAGTACAAGAAACTACACAAGCTTTGAAGCACCATACGTAAAGGCACTGCGTATTCTGCAAAAATTACCTGCAAGATGAAAAACAATTGGCAATACGTCTGCTAAATGTCCGATAGAAAAGAGAGGCTTCATCATAAAATTGAGGAAAATCACAGAGCAAGAGAATCTAACCTTGTAACCGTGGTTCCCGGATTGGAAGCAATATCAACTGGTAGAGTTGAAAAATGTAAACTATAGTTGCATTTGAATGACACAATTGCAAAGAATAATAAGCTTTCCTCATTCAACACATTTAATGATAGTATTCAAAGAGAAAATAAATAATGATACTCTAAATATAAAGTTTTGACTCACTTCAAATTCTAAATTAAATAAAAATGTTGCTGAAATACAAATTAAACATACCCTGCCTCAATTTCTGAATAAAAAATTAGCTTGTGAGTTTTCTCCACTTGCATATACTGACAGAGGTACTGAGTTAGCAGGCAAATTAAACATACCCTGCTTCAATTTCAGAATAAAAAATTAGCTTGTGAGTTTTCTCCACTTGCCTATACTGACAGAGGTAATGAGTTAGCAGGCATTCCTTCTGTGAAATGTGCAGGAGGGACACGGTCGTTCCAGCAAATGTTAAAAAATATTTTCAATTTTCGAAAGAGAAACAAATCCTTCAACACACCAGCTTCATACAGTATTTACCTCACATTTATGGAGCATTTACATACATACCATTCGATTCCTACGAATTTAACACCGAAACCTTTCATATGTATGTAAATACATAAAAATTAAGTGGTATGTATGTATGCAAATCTTTCTTAAAATTCAATGAAATTATCAAAAGAAATGAAATAAAAACACCCCGAAACAAAAACAAAATCAAAATCGAGCTTTAAAGTCATGACTTTAATGATGTTAACAAGAGCATCAGGTTTTAATTATAATTTTAAAGATTTGAGTTTGAATTAAATTTAAGGCAATTTTACGTATATGATTGATTACCTAGTCACAAGATACGTAATTGATGAAATAGGACAATAAATAATAATGCAATAAATATATTATTGAAGCCTTCTATCAATTCAACTTCAGCTTAAAGCCATGCAATAGCCGTCAAACTTCTGCACAGATCTTGAGTTTTAAGCGTTAGATATAAAAATATATAAGAATTGTGTGGAATGTATGTAAATTGGCCCAACTAATAACTTTCTTGCATCATATTTGAGATCTTGCTATCGTTTGCTAAGGTTTCCTGCTAAGGGTGATGATTTCATTTCCAGCCATGGGTTTGGAAAGTATTAAAAGCACATGTAATTGGGATCTTTATCCCCCAATCACCTTTTATGTCGCAATGTTGTTGTTCTAATCCTAGTGCAAATTATATAAACTTTGTTCCAATTATTTGGATCAACTTCAAAATTATCTTTAACATTCTTTACAACAGCAACTTCGTTCCAATGATTTGGATCAAGTTCAAAATTATCTTTGACATTTCTTGGAACAGCAACTTTGTTCCAATGATTTGAATCAACTTCAAAATTATCATGTAGCGAGTGGAGCCAAACACCCCCTAATTCGTATAGGAATTACCAAAGGTTTTGCGTAGCATCCAAATCCAAGCATCAGCATTTAATTACAAATGAATCAAAGAAGACTTACATGCATACCACTCAATTCATATGTATTTGCATATCTAACACCTACAATTCCTTACTCTGCCTAATTGATGAGATTTGAGAGAACCCGAGTCATATGGAAAAGCAACATGCAACTACCAATTATTTGGATCAACTTCAAAACTATTTTTGACAAATAGAAGCCAGAAGCATTAAACTTTGTTTTGAAAATATATCAAATGAATTTCTTACCAAAAAATTTAAAATATGTCATCATCAAACCATTCTTAAAAAAAAAAAAATCAAAATATGTACAACAATAGGCCAAAAACATAAAACCAAATAATTAAAGCACATCAAGTTTCAGTATTTCCAAAAAACTTTAAGGATTTCCTACAAACAATTAGTAAAATGAATAAAATTCTTACCTCACATAGATCTCCAGGCAACATGAACTAATTGAGTTTTTCTCTTTCTGCAGAAAAAAAACAAACAAAAAGGATCATAAAAATAAAAAACTTTAATTATCTATCCAATTTCCTCTCTATTAGAAGTTATACCATAATCATAAATATCTCTGAGTTTTGCTCTTATAACAAAATTCCAATTTTGATTTTTGGGATCTTGAATGTACAACACCAGCTCCACTTGAGAAGAGAAAACAAATGGATCATGCTCTCTTTTTTCAACAGTATGAACTAAACATGAGAAGTTCACTAAAGTCAGTCCAAATTAGTCTTTCTTCATCCCAGTAGCATTAGTATTCGCCCAATCATATTTGAACAAGACAACCCGAAATAAGTCGGAATAACAAATATCAATAATATCATTGACTCGCCCGTAGTAATTGAAGTCACCAACTTCCGCGGTGTTCACAACATCGTAGTTTTGATTTCTCTTATTACCATCCTAAGATTTGATATAAAATTTATTACCATTTATGTAAAATCTCTTATATCACTGTGCAACCTTATTAGAACCATTTGCAAGGGTCATAATTTCATTCGTTAAAGAAGAATCATTGACTATTTTAATCTGGAATGAATAAAAAGTTTCATTAAAAAAATATTTAGGTTTCGACGAATAATCAATATGTTAAGAAACTTACTTCTTGTTGAACCACTCATGGAATCTTTCATTCAAAAGCTTCTCAATTTCTGTAAGAGTAAAATTTATGTGTTTATGTATCTTTCTTTGCTCACTAGCAATAAGGACAACTATATATAATGATATATTATCACAATGGCAAAGCATATATCCATGAGCTTGTACTAAGGATTTTTTAACTAAGATAAAAGTTGTAATTTTTTCCAATGAAATTACCCCACTGCAAAATTTATAATGTAGTGCTCCTCATTTAATAACAACTTTGAACTCGTGGGCATATGAGCTATCTGAGATCTCTCTAAATATTTAGAACAAAAATATATTCCTTCATCCATTATATATCCTCTGTAATTGATCCTTCGGGTGGTGCCTTATTTCCAGCATAATCCTTAAGCACCGAGAAAATCTGTAAATTATATTTTTAACATAAGTAACTCCAGTTAAATTGACAAATAAAACTTAAATTTTTTACATTACCTCTCAAATGGACACATCAACTTTTAATGCATAGAACCACCAAGTTTGATCTCTTCAACTAAGTGAAGGAGCAATTGAACCATGATTGTGAAAAAAGAGGGGAGGAATTACTTTTCCATCTTACAAAAAGTCAGAACAATATCACTCTGAAGTTTCTCTAACCCAATTAGATTGATTACCTTAGAGCATAAAGATTTCAAAAATCGTGAGGTCTCAACAGTAACACCAATAATTTTTTCTAAGGAGCACAAAGTTTAAATGCAATTGGTAGAATATCTTCAATAAGCACATGATAGTCGTGACTCTTTAGACCTACTATCTTGTAGTCATTTATTTTAATAAATCTAGAAATATTTGATGCATATTCTTGTCGGCACTATTTTTGATGTGAGGTTTGCCCGTAAGAAGCTGCCGGTCATCGGAATTGAAATCCCGTTGCCCGCTTCGGAAGGAAGTTTTTTTAAAAAATTTAGTTTTGAAAAAGATGAAGTCAAACAGACCCCATAATTTTCATAGTTTAGATGAAAGAGCGCTTTACCTCAAATCTTGTATCTATCCCGAAGGATGAACACAAGAGTTAAGGGTGAGACTCGATCAAATAAACTAAAGAAAACTATGACATCCGTTTGGTCTGCGAAAACAATGTATTGGCCGACAAGTTCCCTTATTTAATATAAAGGATTAAATAGGGTTTATATTAAGTTAGGTTCAGACATGCTTCCTATAAGGGCAAGCCCCTATAGTTAATTACATTTTAAATGACCAAAGTCACCTAAGAAGACTCTCGATAAAAATCAGGAAATATT